TCATAAATATTCATTGTTTCATGATCTAGTTATTGTAAATAAAACTCTGAGTTTAGGAATACTGCAATGATGTTGTAGACTGCAGTCTTTAATCCTTGTTTTTAATGCACTTTTTTAATATTATTATTTAAGTGTTTTTGTTTGGAGTGATACATAATAGCTGTTTTGTATTCCGTGCACTTGTATTGTGTATAAATTTAAGTATAGTATATTGATATTTAAATAATTTTAACATGTTTTAATTATTTGGTACATCATTTGTGTGAAATGTGTAAAATGAATTATAAATATTAGACTTCAATGTATTAAGTTAAGGTGTACTTTTAAATTATAAAAATTTAATAATTACTTGTTCAACTTGAGGTGGTTGATAACTTGAACTTGATCGAATGCATGGTAGTTGATACACTGAAGATAATTGCTTCTTCATTTGATCCGATAATAATGATTGAAATGTTTCATTTTTTTGTATTATGCATTGTTTCAGTCAAGGTGTTTTATTCTCTGTATAGTGTATAGCCTTTTCATTACTGGGTTACTTAAATGCAGAAGTAGATGAAGGTGCTATACAGTACACTGTATCAACTAAAATTCTAAACACAATAATTTCAAACATGTTTAATGTTATAAGTATTACAACCCATTGTTTTCTATGCCTTTGACTTTTGAGTAACTTATTCTAATAATTACTAATTAGGATAGATTGTAGTCATTCATTACCTTCATCACTTCTACTTCCTGATACATCAAGTGTTGTACGGTTACATTCGGTCATCAATTGAACCTCTTCATTTTCCGATTCTTTTTCAACTGGTGTATGCCACCTTACCTTTTTTTTAAATTATCCAAGTTGTTGGTAAATCTTAAATGAGAAAAAATGACAACAAAATAAAATAATTTTTAAGTAAATTTAATTTTTTAAATTAGTGTGTACATTTTTTAAAATATAACATACAGGTTATTTTTTATGGTACCTTAACCATACTACATTATGAATACATACTTAAAATAATAATAAATATAAACTTTGTAAACTATTAAATAGATTTTATTTTACATACCATGTTCTATTGCCACAAACTATCTTTATACCATACTCAAACCAAGTTGGTTCTGGATCTAGGGCATCATAAATGTCAGTAGGTACTGCTTACTCCACCATTTGGCCATTTACAAAACCGTACACTACTATTTTTTAGATTATTTGTGTCATTTTGAACTAGTCACTTTGTTGGTACTACACTGTAAAAATTAGAATCCAAAAATACCACAATAACCCAACTAACTTTAATCTAAAATGGAAAAATATACATTTATTTTTTAGTTGAGTATCGGCTACCTAAGTTATTATATACTAGAAATATAATAGAAATAATTTGATAAAAAATTAAGGCACCAATTAGGCTCCTAATATCTACTGTTATTGACAAAAATATAAACAGTCCTATTCTTGTAATTTGTATTTTATATATTTGTAAAAACTTAATTTTTAAATAAATACGAGTAAATGAACAACAATAATTTTTTTTAGGACTTAGGTATTTACTTTTCTTAGTATTGTAATTTTTAAACAGTGTTATGAATTAATTGGATATATTATTAATAATACTAATTAAGTAAATTTAAAATGAATACAATTTGAAGATCTGAAAAACATAATCTATTTATTAGCAAAACAAAATAAAAATTGTTATTAATTAATGAGAGCTCTTATTTGATGGCCATGAGCTTATAATATTCAATAACCCATGTTATGTTTCTACAAATAAAGAGTAAAAATAATTAATAAATAAATTTAAAAAAATAAATAATTAATTTATGCTTATTATAATATTACCATGTATTAAGGCTATAACGGTAAGAAACAATTATTTTATATTAAACTTATATTAAATAGTAGCCCGATATATTATGTAAAATACTTCTGTAAGTAGTATATTTCAATTGTGTATTACATAATATAATTTTAAACTATACTATAAACTATACCTACGTATAAACACCAATGATTGGTATGATTTTTGGACTCGAAATTATAAATAAGTTAGGGGCTATTTGCAGAATGTTAGCAGCATATTTTAATTCGTAGCTCAAAAGGGGTGTAGCGTGAAGTTGCTCCTCATCTTATATTTTTTGTAACGTGAGGGAAATTTATTTGTAAATTCTGAAAACCAATTTGCAAATGTTTGTAAATTATTTGCAAATTATTGATAGTATCTCGAAACCGCTAGTTACATATAGGGGGCCCTGTATATAGCCCCCCGCTGCGTGAAGTTGGCCCCCCTATCTTATTATTTTTATTTCTGGCAGGGAATTTATTTGCAAATTCTGAAAACCAATTTGCAAATATTTGCACGCACATTATTTTGTTGAAGATAACAAAAAATTATGACTTACGGTTTTATATCCAAACTTATTTTGTTCCGATTGCTTGGTTTTAAATTTTTAAATTACAATATGCCTATTCAAACCTTTTTGAAAAGTGTATGGAAACTTAATAACGTTTTTTTTTAAAACTGTAGTTTGTAATTACTATTTCATCACGTATTTATATATTATATTTACAATTTGTTGTTGTACATTGTTTAAATAATAATATTAATATTCTTGTTTCTAACAAGTACAGTTTCAGATGGTTTATTACACTAGTATGTTATTTATATTTATATAATATAATATACATAAAAGGATAAAAAAAATTGCATTATTTGATGCATAGGTATTGTTATAGGTGGGGATCAACCTTAAACATATAATAATTTACAATTATATCATTTTTAAGTGCGTGCATAATGTACACTAAATAGTTATAAGCATTATATTGAAATAAAATCATTAACGATATCATAACCGTAATACAATCAATACATCATTTCTTGGTCGTATAAAAATGTATAGATAACATAAATGTGACATTCAAAGTTTAGAGTATTCTCTGAAGCAGTGAAATTAAATTTCAATAATAACATACAGTTTTTTTGTTAAATAAATAATATAATACGATGTATTCATCAAGTATTTTTAGTATTGGTATATGTTTTCATTTTTTTTACATTCAATGGTCAGTAATTAAAGTAAACGCTGTCCTTTAGCTGAAGGTTATATGGTGGCTTAAAGCATTTTATAAGTGAAATACAAACAAAACATATTAATGATAACATCTAAATTAAATAATTTATATAGGCCAATTTTCAAACGGTTTTTGTCGTTGGCGTTGTCATCATACATATAAAACCACAATATGACCTTACGGTTAATCAGTGATCGATGGTCATAAATCTAAACTGATTTAATACATCACGTTTTGTCACAGGTAAATGATCACAACGATTTATATTTTATTTCATTTTATATATAGAGGTAGGTTACTATGTAACGACAGACATTCATTTAGTTTTATTCAAAGACTTAGCTCGTTCCAAAGAAAATGATGATGAACTCATTACCAATGTTTCACATGGTAACATTTCTTAGAATAAAACTTAATATATTATTACCTATGCATATTTGTGTTTATTTTTCACCGACAATTTAAATTAAATCAATATTACATTAATAAATACTGTTAATAATGATGTTTTAGTTTGTTATAACTGCAATGGTCATGATTGCTGATGGACAGATAAACCGTTATATAAATCCTACATGGCTGGAAATGGATGCTAACAGTGAATATTATCCTGGTGGTGAAGTAATAAGTCAAATCCTTCAAGCTTACGGTTTAGGAGATAGTTATGGACCTTCACGACTTAGATCGTCTGTTCTTGATCGGAATGGTTACGGGAGATCTTATCCGAGAAACCGAATTGTAAACAATTTGAACAATGCATATGACTCAGATCCTTTACTAACTCAGGAATACGTCGATCGTAATTATGATTATGTTGACAACACAATCAGGTAACTTAATATTTGTATTTTATCCTATATATGATTTATGACAATATACAAGTGGTATATTTTCAACAAAGCATTAAGTTGTGTGTAGGTTATGTTTGGAGCCTTATTAAAGGTACTACATAGACTTTATAAAGTAGGTACCTCTAAATTGTATGATACTATAAAATATATGAAATAGTACTGAGTATATTACCTACAACTAATATTGAGAAAATGTAGGCGTCTAGTGTAAACTTCCTTCTAGATACATTCAAATCGATTGATGAAGCGGCTCTATAGGAATTAACTTAACATTTTTGGGCTGTTGGAGCAACCCTTTAGATCAAAAAGCTATTTTTATAAAAAAATTTAAATAAAATATAATTTTAAAATTAATAATATAGGTACAGTGTGATTTATCAAGCATGCTTACCCATTTTCATACCCCCTCCATTTTTACTTTAATAATGAATTTCTTCAAATTATGATTTATGGAATTTTTAAATATTATAATATTATACTCAAAGACAATTTTTTTAAAGTATCCATTTTTTTTATACTATTTAAAAAGTGTACTGTGTTGCCAAAAAAACTTCAGTTTTTCAAATAAGAACTCCCCCTTTTTAATATAAATTAGTAAATTACTAGATAGTTTGTTCAAAAATGTTGATGTTTTTAATTTAAAATTCGAATGAATAGTATTTTAGTTATTAAAATGTCTGTACTAAGAATAATGTGCCTTAAGTATGGTTTTATTTGATTCTGAAATAGATGTAATATTGGAATTAGTATTTAGTACTTACTTACTTTGGCCATTTTTACAAATTATTAATGTTGATATATTAATATTAATAATGACCAGAATTTTCAAATCACCATAGCCTCCATATCTTATAAGCCCACTACCACGGAATTTATCCTTATAACACAAAGTTAAATAACTCAAAACTATTCGAATTAATTTTAATTCCGATACTTCAAATTTTACGGTAAATTATTCGCTGAACACTTTACAGTTAAAAACGGGGGTTCTCATTCAAAAAAATAGAAGTTTGTATTTCCACAGGACACTTTTTAAGTAGTGCACAAAATCTCACGAATTTGAAAATATCGTCTTTAAGTTGGTATATTTAAAAATCCCAAAAATTAAATTTTGCATAACTTCATTGTTGAAGAAAAAAGGGATATGATCATGCTTTGGTGAATTATAGACTGTATAATAAATTATTTTATAGCAATGACATATTTCTCTACCTCACATCAAGCAGGATTTAAAAATAGCAAATTTTGATATCCAAATTCAATACTGAAATACCTATATTCCAAAAATCAAATTAAAAAAATATTGTTAGAAAATATTAAAAACGTATTTAAATACCATGTTTGTCCTCATAAATACCCTTTTCTGATTTATATGAATCCTATAAATGTACTATACATAGTAATCAAAAAAACAGTGAAGTCTCTTTTGCTAATATATCACAAAATTAAAAAGGTATGAAAATCTATGTGTAAAAATAAATTTTTATTTTAAAAATATTACCTTTATAATACGTAGGTACCTACTTTAAATAAGAAATATGAACGACTGTTTATTAAAAACTCAACAAAAATTGTTCATATTTTTCTCGAAAAGATTTGACAATTTGTAAAAATAACCTATTGTGTACCTATTTGTGTCTACTTTCCATTTGGTATGGAGAGTCATATGATTTTGTCAAATCATTTTATTGCTGTGGAAAAATATTTAAATAGTAAAAAAATACATTATTAAAAAAAATTAGTCATAATAGTTTTATGGGAGAGAGGTAAAGAAAATAAACCTTTTCTTTTCAATACAATAGATTATTTTAATATGATTTCTACCTACTTTGTCAATACTATGTTTTGTAGTATAGGAAATAGCAATTATTTTTCCCGCTGAACTACATATAAGGTTTTTCTCACTTTTAAGGTTATAAACTATACACGATTAAAATAAAATAATGTTATCAAACAAACCGAATAATGTATATCTATTATATTTTATACATAATGTATTTATTATTTATCATAATACTACCTACATATTCTTTCTGATTCAATGAACATTTTGCATAAAATATAACATTCTAATTATAAACATTTTTTTAGGGGTTCTAACCATAGGTATAGGAATAGTATGATTGATATTCCTCGAAGAACTAGGATTAATATGGTTTCTGCGCCGAGGACTATTTATTACCCTGCCGACTACGTAGACCGAGATCTTCCGTCACAATCTTACTCTAGGTCAAGATCAGTAATTGGAGATCCGGCGATGTCCACGGAATTAGTAGCAAGGGGCCGAGAAACATCGAGACTTATCCCAAGATCCACAGTGGCAACCGAAACCAACGAAAAACGGAAAATGTAGCCATTTTCCATACGTCCAGTAATAATATCTAATGTGATGTGTGGCTTGGATGGAAAAAATTTAATTAAAATCTAGTAGTTTGACTCTAGAACACTTGTCCTATATATGTTACACAGCTGGTGTATAATAAATTGACTTCTTTCACGTTTCTTATATCTTAAATAATAAAAAAAAAATAATATATAATTTATTTTTGTTCGGCTTATTTTTCTATTATTATGCAATCTACGGATCACGATTCTTGGCGACGAGAGTGAATTAATGCGTGATTTTTGGCTATGCTACCTAACTATACCTACCTAATATTATAAGAAACAAGAATGCGTGTCAGACGAAATAAAAGTGAACGTGTGAACATTTTCTATGACAGTCAGGCGTAGTTCACATTATAATAGTAAGTAATAGGTATATATATTATAATATAATATAAATTTAATACAATATATTATGTGTATATAACTCTAAAGTACTTTATCTTCCCAACGTTATATCATTGTACAGTATATATAGCTGGTATAGTTACATATTATATATATGAACAGAACTGCAGGATTGACTTAAACAGTTATATACACATTACATGTATATATATATATATATATTATTGCTTTAATCATAATATACTTAAACGAATGTGTATGTACCTATAATATTACAATATACAATAATATACATTCTATAGATATTGTTATGTTTGTTTGTGACGTATTATACATCTCGAACGTGAAATTATGTATAAATAATCCTTACACTAATATTAATATATTATAATATAATATATTATATATGTATATAATGTATAATGTAGGTAATAGGTATATTAAGTGTATTGTTATTCGTATTATTTTATAAACCGTTTTGAGACACAAAATTATAAGCAAATGCCATTTAAATGTCCGTACACTCGTAGAAGTCATCATGCGTTTTAAACTCTGTTGTTCTCCAGGCGATAGAAGGGGAAATTACTAGTTTCACACAATGTATACAAAACGTAGTCCAATTATTATTTCGTTTATGCACTCTCTCTCGCACTATCTGTCCGTCCGTCCAATTGTGTTTGCTCTAGTTTCAGTTCATTGTTTGTTTTCGTCATTTTCGCAACTATCATTATAGGGTAAAAATATCGTGATCTGCATTTAAATTGAACCTAACATTACGTTAATACGTATAGGCTACTACGAGTACCTACTACTCATGATGCAGACATGCAGTTCATACTACCTATAATAAGACCCTGACATTAAAGTATTAAACATAATATTGTACGTTTACGTCAAAGTTGAAAGTATGTAACTATTTTTACTGCTGTCACAGTTATAAAGACAATGATAACTATCAATCAATAATAAATAACAACAATTGATTGTAATTGCACGAACAGTAATTATTATCGATCGAAAAGCTCAACAATGCCACAATGCCAAAAACCCAATGAAACGGATTTCAAATACAGCATAATATAATTTATTGTGTGTCATAATTTATAATATAAACACTCGTGGTTGCAGACAAATAATATAATGTACATCGAGTTTGTAATATAAAAACAATATAACAAATATATGGACAACGATAAGATGTACACGGTTCGTTGGAAGACGTTTAGAGGAGGTTTTCGCAGGTACATAATTTTAGTCAGGATATGAGTCACTACGTTAAAATAAGATAAACATAAACTATAATAATGCATTCTTGCTTCATAAATTACGTCAAATGAATTTATTTTAAAAGATTAACATAAAATCATATCATAAAATTAGATGTTCTCCACAATGCGTTGTACATTTACATCTATTCAAATCCTCAATAATATTTTGGATTGTACTGCAAACAAAAATATAACATGATCATTATAATTTGCATGTTTAAAATATGTCAGATGATTGATACACCGATAAAATTTCATTTCAGGTACAAATTATTATCATGCATTTTGAACAATAATAATAAACCTATATATTCCTATAAAATAATATCGCAGTATAACCTACATTCGTTGTAGTCGTCCCGCAATCATACAATATATTATAATATATATAGTATAATACTGTGCAGTTAATCTAGGACTGACTATAAATGATCTATCTATGTATATAAGAGATTAATAGGTTTTTTTATGTCTTGTGAAATATTTTAAAATAATAGTAGCGTCAAATGTATTATATGTGTATATTGTGTATACCATGTATATATACATATACATAAAATATATAATATAATAACGTACGTGCTGTACGTCGCACAGTAATGATTCTGTGATGTAATGAACGCCTACAATTTTATACACAGTTCTTTCAAATTTAATTTAAATATGTACGCTGTTATTTACAAAACAAACCGCACCCGCATAATATTAAATGACCACACAAATATTAAACTCAAGGATACAATATTTAAATTATATACTTAGGTACTTAAATATCATCATATGAATACACTTATCAGTCTATCTACATAGCTTTATTTTACTCTTAGTTGATTTACATTTGTAAATGTTTTGGTTTATCGATATTATGCAATATTTTGGTAGGTACATGGTACATTGTACAATAATTATACTTACGACCTACCTAGTCTAACATCATTCTAAATCTGCTACTTTGTAAATAAACAAAAAAAAAACATGTTTTCACTAGATTTTTGTGATGGGGATTCATGTACTGTCACATAAAATACGCTGTACTGTACGTGTAATATGTGTACATCAATCTTGTAATAATTTATAACTTATAACTATACGATAGAGGCATAACGCCACCTACCACGGAGAAGATATTTTGGGTCAAGTATTTGAGTTGAAGTAGTATTATTTTTTAAAAAATTGCCAATGATTTTTAAACACAATTATCAAGCAATTTATAAGAAAAGTGATTGATTTTATGTTTATGCCCCGTGTTGATATGTTTAAAAATATGTTATCATAACTTTCTTCAAAAATGAATACAAATATACAATATATTAACTATAAAATATAAACTATAGTTTTAAAATTATATTAATATTAGAAATTCAATGGTTTTTAAATTAGTGTTATTTGTTATTAGTTTTTATTAATTTCCTTAAGCAGGCGTAGGAAAAACTTAGAAAAATATGTTGACATATTTAAGGCTTATGAGTTATGACGTAATATAAGATTTATAACTAATAATTATCAGTTAGGTATTTTCTTTTAGATAGTCCTAAATCCTTATGGTTTTAGGTATCATTTAAACAATACTTTAATATTATATTCAAATACTCAATATATTTATTAATTTACATAAATTGCAACTATTCATAATTCTACGAGTTAAGTACTTAAAAATGTAAACACTTTCTATTAGTCATTACTCATTAGTGTTATTACTATTATAATACTAAAGTAATTTGAAATTCGTTCAGAACCATTTTTTTATACTATGATTTTTGGTATTCAGAATACAGAATAATAATAAGTACTTACATAGGTTTAGGTTTAGGTATACATCACTATCCTGTGTCTATCGAAGCAAGACGAGCTCCCACTACCCATTAACCGCTATTTGTGTACTGTACAGCTTTTTACATTCACAATAATAGACGTAAATAATTATTCTGTTAGTAATTAAATTTAGTACAAATGTACAAATCAATGACAATAAATTTGTTATTTCAGGTTTATTTGTGTTTGTATTATTTATATTTATATCATTGATGTTAAAAATACTACATTTATTTAATCTAGAATTTAAAATGTATACTTTATTCCTTACTTTTTACAGTTTGGCATATTGAGTTAACACAATATAATGTGTAATAATATGTTTCAACTAACCTTCAAAATACAATGAAATTCCTGTACGATTTTAGTCACAAAAAAATCGAATATCCGCATTTATAATTCACATTTTGTCCTATATATTATATTATTGTCTATTGTCATAAAATTAATAACTAATATTTAAAAACTAACAATAGTAGAAAAACATACATATGAGATTTATTTGTATGGTAATAATTAAATTGTATGGTTATATTTGTACAAAATGCTTTTGTTTAAAAAAAAATACTTTACCAAACAATGTTTATACTGTTATACAATCTAAGAACAATGTAGTTACCTACCCGTAAAATAATTTTGTTTATCTGCTTCAAAATTAAATTCTATTAATAACAATAATATTGTAAATGTATCTTAAATTTTATGTTGTATAAAAAAAATACGCTGTAGGTACTAAAAAATAATATTACCGCCAATCGTCATCGTGTATTAGATATGGTATGTAAGCATATTGCAATGAGCATAGAAATAAAAATGCTACTGAGAATCGAAAGAAAATGTGAGCTCTTCTAATAGGTACGTATGAATCCATCTTGGCACCTATAGCTTAAAGAAATAAAGAATTCGCACGGTAACTGCCAACTGGGACTGTTGGTGAAATAATGTAAGGTTGTAAGACCTTATGTGGAATAAAGTACAGTAATATAGTATACATGCACATTGTGGTATGCTCCATGCACAATATGGGCCTCGTGGCCGGAGCACAAGAACAAGAGACTTACCTCAGCTCTAATACTGATTGAAACTCAAACTGTGCAAGTACCAATAGATACATTTCATTATACAATATGTGTAAATATAAATCACTATTTATTGTTAGTTAATAGTAGGTAGGCGTCAGATGCCTATAATAAAGTTTTAAATTTGAATATTAAATAATATACTGCTTAATACTTATATTTACTCTGCGCGGTAGGTGTAGCTATATATTTTCTATGGTTGGATGGAAAATTGTTTTTAAACTTTTGTTAAGGTAATCAACCAGTCTGACATTTGAATTTAATTCTTTGAATGCATTTTTTTTATGTATAATGTATATATGTACATAATACATATATGTATAGGTAGATAATAGATACATATATTAGGCATACGAGTAGGTATACATAGTTAGTATTGTAATAATCGCAGGAGTGAAGAATTAATTTAAATCGACCAACAAAATACAAGACAATCAACACAATAATGTTTTCACAAAATATAAATTACGACTAATCCTCAGCACTTAACTATTTTTATCCACATTTACGTGCCGTTTATTTATCGTTTTCGAATTAAACATTCGCCGCAAGTCATTTTCGGATAATAATACCAATATAGGTGCTTACCTATGTTTATTGTAGTATCGCATAAATACATAGCGTGCTTACTGCTATTTTATTGTACAATATTATAATGTATATTATATTAAATTCTAATGTAAAATGTTACGTGAGGATGTAATAACGCTGCAGTCAGCTGGCATTGGCGGCGGTGGCTAAAACGTGAACAATTATTATTGCAAATTCGTGATATACTACTCGTGTGTGTGTGTGTGTGTGTGTGTGTGTTTGTGAAGTATTAAAAATAATAACGTATATATGCACGGGGGAAGTCGCCGCGTTCGCGAACTAGAGTAAAAGGAACACCGCCTCTGAGGCTCTGAACTACATCGTGACCACGCTAACGTGAATCAGTCATGCTTTGAACGCTGTTCTCGTACAGACTTGTTTTCCTCTCGTAACTGTCCGGTGTTTTTGAAAATACAATAATATTATATTATATCGATACATGCACTAAATAATATATGTTAAATGCAATTTAATTTTATACTTCAAAGTTCAAACTGTACAATGATTTTATAGATTGTATAGACCATATATACTTATGACACGCAGTACATTTTTAATTTAAATCATCATTTATATTAATTCGGTTTGTCATAAGTACACTGTGGAACGTAATAATAACTATAGTTCCTAAATGTCAATATTTAAATGTTCTGTTACATTGTGAAGTATCTGCAGGTACGTAACTATAATCATAACACTTATTATATTATTTAAATTTTAGTAATTTTAGTAGTAGTAGTTTACATTACATTTGTGATTTTTATATCTATAATTTTTACTTATTACAACTTCAGTAGGTATACCTATATAGTACCAGTATAGTACATTAGTACCTACGACCTACCTAATCACTAATCAGTACATCTACTATAGTAGGTGCGTAGACTCTTTAGTAATGATGGAACTATTTAACTACCTATATTCTATAAACCTTGTTTTTTGATTTTAACTTATTATTGAGTTATTAATTGGATAACAAATAAATATCTAGTATTTTAAGTTCAGGTACCTAAGTGAATTGTTGCATCATACAAATACCATAGTGTATAACTTATTTAAAATATAGGATGTCAGTTAAAAAAGTACCTACTAAGTACTTTAATAGACAAATCTAAGGATAAAGAACTAAAGGAAATATACAATTTTATAATTGTATGCAACAATTTTTTTTTTAGTATAAGTTTTTACTGTTACAGAAAATTATTCTGTGTCGGGCTCTACCTCTATCTATATAGTAAATATATTTGTAAATTGATATTCTATACAAACATTATTATATTATGCAAATGTCCCTGTATTTTTCATTAAATAAAGGCAATTTAATTGTGATAAGCAGCCAAATAGGTATATTATATTTCTTCATTGCTAATTCTGCTAAATAAGGTAAAAGATCTTACCTTAGTTTATCCTTTTTTTGTTATTTATTTATTAGGTATAAACTTGCTCAAAAATTTAGGTAGGCCATAATATTATATACCTACCTACTATTATATTTATATAAAATAGCGAAAGGTTTTACCAATTGATAGCAATTTATTAACGTTATTAGTATTTAACTGTTTCATGTTGTCTTCAGGACTTAGGTGGTTATATAAAACATGAAATAAAAACTCGGCCTTTTAAATAGCTTTTATAAATGTATTTGTGTTTAGTCTAATGTAGGTACATAGGTAATACATATTTATATTTTATATGTATTATGTAATACACTTAACTTCTGCAGGTAATACAAATTTTCACTCTACAGTCATTATACACAATTATGTGTTTTATGCTTTATTATATAGTTTGAGTTTATTTTTATTTCAATTAAAAAGTTGATTCAAGTGATTCAACTTCAAATAAAATACGAGTACTAAAAAAATCAGAGTTTATAAAATATTTTGATTTTCAATAAATGTTTACTACATTGAATATTTACATATTGTAGTAATATAAAAATATAATAATCTAATGAATATTTATACTAATATTTTATTTTTATTTTTAAAAACTGTATTCTAAAGAACTTTCTAGGCATCCAAAATGTTAGCATTTTGTGTTTAAATAATCGTGCAACAAGTAAATTCATTTTTTTTTATTACATGTATAGTTAACTTGTTAGTTGCTTATATGTAGGTACTAGGTATGTACAAATAATAAAAACCATGACCCATTATACAGGAACTATGATAATAATGACTTTGGTAGGTACATATTACATTGTGCATTGTACATTTTATATTTTAACTTACTTTTTATGAATACTAAAAAAGATAAATTATAATAATTCCTAATTCCTTTAGGTAATACATTTTTCAATTTCGTTTTCATAATAAAATGTATTGAGAGAAACGTGCCACATTGTATTTTCAGTTTTTATAGAACTTTTGTACCAGCCATACATTTTCTTAGAGTAAAAGTAATATAGGTATAGACAGCAATATAAAATTTTAAGTTCGTACACTTATGCTTGTGCCATTCACATGTTAACATTTTAAGTTCAATAATCAACGGTTAAGTATGGAAACAAATATTTTTGGTAGAAACATCATAATTTCATAAATAATTTTTCAATGTTTTGATATTCGAGATAAATTATAGTAACTTGCTCCTGATGAATCGGACATTGTTTTTACATTAATGTTTCAATGTAACACAACAATTATTACTGTCTAATAACCTTATAGTTGTTGAAGCTGGTAAATTTTCAAATAACAAAAAAAATTAATAATGTATTTCATTGTTTTTTTTTTTGCTACATAGTTGGTTGAAGTAGACGACCGCTATCCGCAATAACCTAATTTATTAATCATTACCTATATATGTCTACTTATGTATCTCCTGCAGAGAATATTTGATTTTTCATCATGAAGTTCAAATTGCCAAATTGTACTTCGTAGTGTAGTTTAGGTTAGGTTATGTTTAATTATTATAAAATTGGTTATTTACTTATACGCAACGAAATTTCGAACTTTTGTATAAATAATAGTATTAATATATTATATTAAAAATAACCTATTAGTTATTATTGAAAATCAATTATTAATAATCATTAGGTGTGTTAGTTTTTCATGTAAACAAGTTAAATAGAAAAAAACTATGAAGGATTATTTTTATCTAATATACTAGTACTTACTAAACATAATAAGTAAAGAAAAAGACCATGGGGGGATCACTCCTTGTATCTGAGGCTGTAGACTGTATAGAGTACTAGAGAGTAGAGACTAGACTACAATTATAATATCATTTAATTTTCCAGTGATTTTTATATTACCTATTAAAATTAAATTAACCAAAAGATATTCATCAATATTATTTAGGTGTACCTATTATTATGAAGGTATCTTCAAAATTAAAATTATAAAATCTTAAAAATAGTTTACATATTTGTGATAAAATAATAAAAAATTGCTTTCATTCGTATAGTGGTATAGGTACACTGGTAATTATTCGTTCTTACGACGTATGATTATTTACCGTATTTATTATTGCATGTAGGTACATATTTTATAATACAATAATACTTTATACTACACATTTCATTTTATCCCGTTTATATAGGTATAGCTAGCTAATTGTATAAGGCACACATCCGATTGACACTGTATAATATAAAAACCAAAAGGGTCCGTGATACTCGATATTTCTAAAGATTTCTATAAATGTATGTAAAGTTTTAAAATTGTAAGGAAATTATATGAAAGAAAAATGTGTTATTAAATAATATAAATACCTAAAATGACTAGGTCTACTTAACTTACAAAAATGAAATTATAACAGTATTAATATAAAGTACTGATGTATCACACAATATATAGCCGACCATATACTTATGAACTAAAATAATATATAATAATAATAATACGTACAGTTTAATACAAATAGGCAATATAATATGTTAGGACGTATAATAATAATATTTATCATTGTCTATTATATATAATATATAATAATACTTTAATACGTAGCTAGTAGACCTTTAAATTAATCAAAATAATTTATTACCAACTGCTTAATAAATATTAATACCTACCTATTTTAATATTTTAGGGGCTTCTGATACGAGTATAATATGACGCTTTGAGCATTTCAGTATCTGTGTGTATAAATAAAAATATATAATAGCTGATTATTAACATTATATTATATTGTAATAGCTTACATTACATATTATATGCCTAATTATATTGTTACAATATATTATAGTAGATACTGTTTGACATTTCAAAGTCAAGATGTATGATATATTTGCCTACAGTCTGTAGTATATAGGTACACACAAATTATACAGAATTTAATAAAATATAATACTATATTCTACTATTCAATTTAGTGGCCATAAAGCATGGTATAAAAAATGTTTAGTTTTTTCTTCTGCACAATGTTTCCTAATAGCTACTTATTGTTGTTGCCTTGATTGTAATTTGTAAGCAATAAATTGTAACTAAAAAAAACACGAAGATGACTTCAGATTAAACTTGTGAATAACATAATATACTTACTACCAAGTCATCAGTCATCATCCTTTTAGTAGGAGCCGTAAATTATATAGAATATATTGAGTGGGTGTACTCTAACAATAGATATTTTAATCGTTCGACGACACCTGCAGCGTAGTCGGTCGATTCGATTTCCTGTGGTGGCTCAATTTTCGTCGGACGAAAGAGGTATTTATAATAATATATTATACACAGTTAGATACCTATATAGTATTAAATATAGTTTACTCTCGGACTTCGCGGTTCTGGACCGCTGAACCGGTACAAGTCATCTGATATTCTGATCCGTTCATCAGGATAATTTTCTATGAAATTGTCGTCGAAAATTCGTTGTGGTACATTAGTAAATCGCAGAAAATTGATTGTGAAATTTTAAATTCCTTTAAACTAATTACAGTTTAAACTATGTAATACTGTGACTCAGCTCTGCTATAGCAGGAACAGTATAAGCAGTGTATTTTTGTGAAACTTATTTCGATTTTAATTTCTCTAACCTTTTCTATACACAGACACTTTTGCTATTTAAATTCAACTCAGGTGTAAATGTATACTATATAGGTAAAATGTGTGTGTAAACATACAAACGCGCACACACACACTATAATATTTATTCATAAATTCGCATATATATATATATATATATATAAAATCGTTCAAAATCGAAATCTTGACACTATGTATAACGTACGTGGATAATGCAGGACAATAGCTAAACTGCTTACAAATACGAAACGTATATATTGTTTGTACCTGCCTAGTGTCCACTGTCTATATGTATATGCTATCATAATGTACATGAAAACAGTATTACGTTTGTGTGGGTGACTGCTGTAAATAATATTATGATGAATGTGTAATACTGTCATCGTTGAATCGTTCCTATTTTATATTATATTGTCAATTATATTTAGCATTCGACTCATGAAAGGGAAATCTTTCGTTCAGTTTACACTAAATTATCGATTCGTTTTCACTAACTGTACGTGCGAGGACCAAATTAAAACGAAAGTGACGATGTTTTTATTTTTTTTCAATCCAAAATTATTTTATAATATAGGTACCTAGAAGGGTACTATATATTATAATATATATACACAAAAGGGGACTGTATACAGTATTTAATGTGACTAATCAAATTGGGCTCCAAAAACTTTCTTTTCGTATCAACAAAAACACAATAAATTTAAGTAACAATGCAGAATTGTTATTTTATTTTTGATTCAAATTAAAATAGCTAATAATTTTACCGATTAATTTTTTTTTTTTGTCCTTTTGTTCTCTTAATTTTTAGATTTCATTTAAAAACTTAGTTTTTTTTAATAAACTATAATAGTAGCTGGTAAGTAAAGTGAGTAGATGTCTAGAATATCTGCTATTATCCAGCCGTCGCAAAGGCTATAATAGATAGGCACGGATCCAGAGCAAGGATCTGGGGGTGGAGACCCACAATTTTTTGTTAATGTGTGAAATTAGAATATTGGAATGACTATCCACCACTAACCAGATAGTACTATCTTAATTTGTGCACCCCAGAATAATACGTATAATAATATATTACGTATATTATCAGACATACGTGTAGAATTATTAAACAAATGTGGGAAATAATATGGCTGAGGGGCTAGGCCCCTAGCCTCCCCCTTGTAACTGTCCCTGATAATAGATCATCATCACACATAGATAAAGATTACTGATTTTTTTTTAGTACCCATCTATTGGAAGTAGGTTGTCGGTGGGAATACCTATATTTTGTTACGTAATATAATTGTTATGACATCACTAAATGAATTTATATATTATATAGTCGACTACATCGTATATTTATATGTTGGATATAACCATACTAGCCAATAGGTATGACTGGTTGTTATAGGCTATAGCCTATATAAGTACATAACAGGTAGATTAGGTTATCGGCGGTTAAAAAGGTATGAAAAAGAGTTTTACTTAAAATAATTTCATCTGCAAAAATTAATCTTATATCCGTTAATATTTTTATTTTATTTAGAAGTCAAGTTAAAATGTAATGTTTAGGTAGATAGGCATCTTAGTACCGACCTCATGCATAATTTGTTGTCGCACGGTCGTCGGTCATCAATTTCATACTTTATAGTATATCTAATTGATAATAGAAAAAAGAGAGATACAGCTGGAAAGTGTTATTTTATATTAGAAATTAGTGACAAACGATTTTCGATATTTTAAATACGAGTACATATGGGTCAACACAACATAATGATCATATTATTATCAATATTATTGATCTTAATAAGGTATTATGATTAGCACTGTACATATTTTACTGTATGTAGTTTTTATTTCAGGGAGTTGACAGGGGGTATTACCCCCCCGGAGAAAAATTTATATCATCCCGAAAAAATATTTTTACTAAACTTCATTATTTATTCCTATGGAAGGTCTGAAATAAACACTGACCATCTTTAGGCAAAACCAAATGGTCATCATAGCTCCCATAAAAATAACTTGAAATTATCTTTTTTGTAAAGCATATTATAAAGCTAAAGATTAAAATTTTGTAAAACGGAATTCATTGAGAGCTGTTGAATATTTCAAAATAATCAAATTTATAAACCAGTCTACTACATTACAAGATCATCATTATAGACGTAGAGTGTACCTATTTTTGAGAGCTAAATTTAGCACCAGGCGTATTAACAATATTACTTGCTATAACTATTTATTCAAATTTCGTAGTTAAATAGGTAATGTGATAAAGCGGTTCCCATCAAAGTGAGTTCTTAAGGTTCCGTGGGACCATCTCAAGGATTCCTCGAGATGTATGTGATTATTGAGAAAATTATTTTATATAATATTAATTGGAAAAAATATTATTAAAAATTATTATTTTATACTATTCAAAAAAAAGTTTTTTTCTTATGCTTATATTCAAAGTATACACAGAAATAGATTGGATTCTGCACTAGACTTAAGAATTCAGCTTTCAAGTATAAAACTCAATTTAAAAACTATTGCAAATAGCAAACAATGAAACAGTCTCATTCTTCTCATTTACAACATTAAAAGTTATAGTATTTTTGTTTTTTTAAATCTTAATAAACAATTATCATCCCCATACGCAATAGCCAATTGGCCTTTAGCTTTTATCCCTTTTTGTTCCTATGACTATAGATGGACTCGCCATATAACAATTGAAATCTTAAATCTATGTATAGAATTAAGCGTGTTTACACAAATAATATAATATGCAATTTAACAATATAGCTTTATACATTAGACCAGCTGTTCTCAAACTTTTTTTTTCGCGTACCACTTTAGTATATTATCAATCAGTCGAGTACCACTGATGATTAAAAATAGAAAGATACAAACTTTACATAGTTAAACATTTATTTAAAATAAAAATGCAGTAAAATACTACAATATAATTATTATTTATTTATTGATACAAATTTATTAGAGTTAAAAAATTAAGGTATGAATTAAATAACAAATTTTCAAAGAGAACCATGGTTTTGTAGATTTGATATTAGCGATGAAATATCTGGTTCAGTGTTACTTAAGGCCTTCCGTGTACCAAACTGTAGTCTTTCGCGCACCACAGTTTGAGAACCGCTGCATTAGAGTCATTTAGACGCATTAATAAAAGTAAAGATACCTGACTTGTATGATAACTAATGATATACGGCTTTATTATTTTTGTCTCCAGAATGTCTCTGAAATGATGGTGTTGGCGTTGGTTACTCCTTCCGGCCGAGGTGGACTATGCACGTCCGTGCACTTTTGCTTGGCGCTGTTGGCCGTGTGCCAATGTCTGTCCGGGACACCAACCACGGCATCGACAGCCCGCCATTGGAGTTTGGCAGAATTGTCGGTGACATCTAGCGAGCTGCCAAAACAGATACCGGCGCCGCCTTACCCTGTACAGCAGAGGATTCAATCGACTCCGCACTACGACCAACAGCTCAAATTGCCATCGGGAAACGGTGTAGGTTCGCGGAACCACCGCTATCCGTGGACCCGACCGACGGCGTCGATTATTTGAGCCGATAGATTACATTACCTATTACTCATATACACCATCATTATTATTGCTTTGTCAACAATTTCATCGCTACCTACATTGATAATCACTATTTCGAAATCAGGAATCGGAACTGAACCGAAATGTGCCGGTTCCTTACAGATTTATTCGTCATATAATATTATGGATCCAATATAGGTTGAGCCTTCACTTTAACCAAAACACACAAGACGCAGTAAAGTTCTAAACCGATCCAACTTCCTTGAGCTACAAGTACCTAATCCGAACTTTTAGTAGGCATGTCAATCATCCGTCTTAAAAGCAAAAGAAGCGAGAATAACCAATCCGAAATCGGAACAAATCTGCAAATCAAATTATATAAAAGGTTCCAGTTCCTGAATCACTTACATACTAAAGTCGGATTAACAATATTAAACCATTGTTATTCCTATTTGGCATTTTTAATTGTTAATTGTCATAACTGATAAATATTATAATACCTATATTGTAAACGTAATATACGTAATTAAGACATGTTGCGATGACCAAAGTTACCTGGCTTAACCACATGTACCTATATTATGTTACCTTCATGTTATCTATTTTCTTAAGTAGGTACCTACACTTATTTTATATGTTATTTATTTATTTTTATATTATATTAAAGTAATTAGATAATTTTAGATGTGAAATTATAACACAACTATACAACATAAAACATATAATTTATATAGGAACTAACATAATTAATACATGATGTACTTTTATAATATATCTAAAAGTATATAAAAAGTACACTTAATTCCAAAATAAAGTGTTTTTTTTTATTCAAAATCTTTGTTTAAAATATAAAGCATTATTTTATTTAATTATAGCATACTTAATGTAGACATAGTTATGGGTATTAAGAGTCTATGTTACTGAAGTTATTTTTGATATATTTAATAATACATTTATAGATTTAAGGCCATAACAACTCTTGTCAAGTATCAAAAAAGGATGTAACCCAAGAATAAATTCTTTATATCAGCCAAAAAATTAAAATTAAACTTGAAAAATTAGACGTCAATATGCTGTAAAATATATGAAATGCTTCAGCTCCAATTTACTTGTAGAATTGTAGACAATATTTAACTAGTTGTTATTTACATTAAATACCTCAAGACTATTTCAAATTGATGTAAAAAATAAAAAACACAAGAACTTCCTCTGCTGTTTAGTAGATGTTCAGTATAGTGTGTAGGTCTACCTTTGGGTAATCAATGAGTCGGTACCTCATATTCTTATGTAATGAACAAAAAAAAAAAACAAACATAATTGTAAAATTAAGAAATTCATTACCTCGCTCATCCAAAATATAAAATTGCAAAGAATAATAAAATGAAATAATTATATTAATATATTGCATGAAAATAATATTAATTAACAGCTAGACCAAAAAAATGTATTAAGTTATGATTTCTAAAATAATGCTAGAAATTACATTTTAGGTTATGTATTAACTGGTACTATAATTTGTGGAATAACTGAAATGAAATATTGCATACATATCTATGTAGTGGGAACATTTGCAAATAACTTGGTCTGTTATGTATTTTGTATGTTGTTCTGTGGTTGGTTTCAATTAAGATAGATTATGACAAATGATTTTTGCATTCTTTACAAAAATCCTAAAAAAAACCAATTATGTGGTCAGCCAAATAATACATAAATACTAAATATGCATAAGCTATATAATATTTATACTTTTACTTGGTCCATTAGACATTTAATACAGATGTTACATTTCATAATTATGTTAATGATCCATTTACAGTTATATACCAGTGTGCCAACTTGCCCCTTTTCAATTATATATTCTGAAAAATAAAGGTTTATAGTTTAAAAGGATTTGAACATAATTTATGTTATTGTATTTACTTACATGCCTACATATTTTAACATCCATTTTAAGCTTATCATATTTTACTAATGATTTTCATTAATTTCTTCATTAATTTTTTCAGTGATCCCTTCTATGCCCAATGAAGTATTGTGTACAATTAAAATTTTATTTCTCGATCTTGAACCCTAGAATGCATATATTAATCATAGTTAATAACAATATTGAAATTTATATTAAATAATAATTTCTATTATAATGGAAAATTTAATTTTAGTATCAGTTCATGACTAATGTCAAACATAATTTATTTCATAGTAAAATAAATTTAAAAAAAATATGAGTGAGATTGTACTGCTTTGTTGAAAAAGGGGAATAGTTCTTTTACTTCATATATCTATATGCCCATAAAGGTATCATTTATATATGTTCAAAGAACTAAAGTATAAACAAAAGAAATAAACTTACTCGATCTAAACTTAAATCACTTTTTCTCAAACCCAAAACCTTTGAAAGATATTTTATTAACTCTGCATTAGCTTCACCATCAGTCGGAGGTGCATTTATCTGGACACCAACACCATCAGAAGATATATCTTTATAAAAAACAATACAAATTACAAAATTTAATAATATTTAAATTTTTGAAATTGAATTTTAAATGTATTTATAATTTAACCCACTTCTATGAGAGCTTTTAGTATTTGCTTTTAGTTTAATAGGTGCTAAATTATTTTATGCTTACTGGGCAAAATGTCCATTATTTTGTTAAAAAATTATAAATAGGTAAAATCAATTCTATGTAAAAATTGTTTTTGCCTAGTTCTTCAAGGGCCAAATAGAATTGCTAAAAGGAAGCTACACAGACATTTGTTATCTCCATATTACATGTGCGTTTGTATGTGGGTTTTTATGATAGCTCAATTTTTTTGCTAATTTTGAATATTTGTGAAAGGGTAAATTAAAAATGCTCATAACTTACCTAAACCGAATTATAGTAAAAACCCACAAACACAGATTTTGTTTTTACCATCAAGTTTCATAATAGGTCAATTCACCCTAATTTTTATAACTAAAGAAGCTAAACGTGGTCTGTTGAGCATAAATTTGGTATGTAAGAAAGAACACTTGAAAGAAGGAAACAACAAACATCTATGTAGTGTCAACTTAATATAGTAGTAAATGTATGAGTAGGTACCTGTTATGTTATTATTTTTGGCACCAGGTTTGGCATTTATTTTAATAACAACATCACCCGATTTGTCAACTGTTATAGGTCCTGTTTGAACAGTCTCTAATTTTCCTTGAACCGGTTTGGTATTTTTTTTAGGCATAATTTTTATTATTTTACTGGGAAATAAAGTAGCATTAAAAAGTCTCATTAACACGGTCTAAATAATTTTACAAAAACTTTTCGTTCTAAAAAAACGTGAATGCTAATAGGTAACAACATACATCGGTTTTGATACAATTACAAAATTTAAAAAAAATTAACTATGGCCTTCACGTCGTTGTAGTTTGTTCAAGTCTCTTAAATTCTTTAAAAATTAACAAAAAAAAACAAATAAGACAGTGTTCTTTATTGAATTTAAATTTAAACAGGATTGTTTTATCAAATTTTAGTGATAAGAATAAATTTGGTTAATGTGATATCATAAATCTTATTCCGTCGTGTTGTGAATCACAGATTTTTTGTTCTGTAGATAATATCATAGATGATAGATTTTACTACTATAGACTATAGAGTAGGAAATAGATAATATTATGTGGGTAACTCCCTTGACTTTTAGTTTCTTATGGTTATGAACAAATATCAAATCTTCAAGTTTATACTTAGTTTAGTTTATTCGTTCCAAATTTCTTACTGAAATTATTCAATTATATACAATCATAGGTCACTGAATAATTTTGAATAGTTTGAATAGATCCAGTTCATTGTTGCTATGACAGACTCATAATACCATAGGGCATTTACCTTAATATAATATGGTTTATATTAGTATAAGGTCTAGGAATATTGAATAAAACAATAATAATTTTTTGTCACTTATTAATACTCAGTAGAATTGTATAAAACTTAAATGCTAAACATAATGAAAATGTCAACACTATACTTCCAAAAATAGGCATCATTATGATTTAGCAATTGCTAACTCCACCAAATACATTATTGTATCCACCGACACCTCTCAGGTTTCATGCAATTGAATTAAAAATATTATTCAAGATGCTTGCTGCCCCACGATTTTACTCCAAATGATACCACTGCTTTCAAAAATGTTAAGCCGTAGACGTAGGTTACACATGTCTAATAGTAGATACTTAATACAATCAGTTATCCAAATAGGTTAAAACTCGGAAACTCACTGTTAAGTTAGGTATACCATGGGCCACGGCTAGAAGTACCTAGTTCTCTATCAATTATAACTTACACTTTTATAGATTGTATGGTAAGTTAAATGTAATACATTTTTATTCATCATTAGCTTATTAATTATTACCTTAATCTCACTGTTTTACAGTCAACGCATCCCACTACCCCGCACAGGAGAATCATCTGCTGATTTTTGTTAAGCCAATTCATACCATTTTATAGTGATTATGTTTATTTAAATAAGAAAAAATCAAATTATGTTCATTAAAAAAATAAAAGTGTGTTCAATTATTTATTTTAAAAAAAAAAGACGAATTACACGAACAAAATATTCAAAGTATTGTTAAATTCGATCTTAATACTTTGGTACATCAAATGAATACATATGTCTATATTTTAATAATAGTTGTCTTTTCATTTGTAAAGATTGACGGAGATCATCCATAGCTTTTAACTGCTGCTCACTATTGTATTGGACTCCAGGTAATTTACGAATCTAAACAATTTAAAAAAAATTTTTTAATGCTGTACAAAAATAAGACATTTTTTTAGTAAAATATATTATTTGTTAGATTTAAAAAAAACAACTTAAAATTGATGGTACTCTTATAATAGATCTTATGAGTACCATTCCATTTTTAATCACTTGTTATGAACAAAACTTGGGCATTTTAGTCAAGTTCAAGATAAATTGAATTATTAATATTGCACTAATATATTTTGGCGCAGTGTCCATTTTAAAACTAACAAAATAAATTGTAGGTAGATACAGATTGTAAAATCAAAAAATACTCTTACATCACTTCGCGCTTGATCAATTTTTTTTTGTAAATCTTGTATTTTTTGTGATATTTCTTGGGCTGATTTCTGAGGTTCATGATTTTCTCTTTCACCGCTACAAACAGGATTAATAAATAGTTCATAATTTGGAAGAAATATTTGGCAAGTTCTTTTACCTTTTTATAATATCATGAATTAATGGTAAAAAATCTGTATCCACATCATTGACGGTAATAGTGTTCTCCATATTTAATCCTTTTAAACTTGTAATAATTAAAAAATAAACATACCTACTAACTGGTACTTAATATATAATAGTAAATAAATAGATAGTTGTAACGTACTAATGTACAAGTAGAGAGAAGATAGTACTTACAATTATAGATCTTAACAATAATAATCAATGTTAGGTCTATAACTTAGTTAATAGTAAATATATAAAAATGGTAATTGATTAAAATGTAAAATGTAAGTTTCAAAATATAAAAATAGCTATACAATTTAAAAATGTTGTATGTCGTTCAAATTGTTCAAACATTAATTAGACAATCAAAACTTTTGTTGAACGATGATAAGTGATAATACTAATCTGTTATATTTTATCAGGTTATAATTATTTGTATTACTTATCATTATGCTATCATGCATTCATGCATGCGGCATGTCGAGCACGATTTAAGATAGGTTAGTTGATACTAGATTCACACAAGTACACAACATGAACAAAAATAACAACCGTCAACTTACAGTCTAACTACTGTCTACTAGTTGTCATTTGTCACTGCATGTTAGTTGTCTCTACTAACAGTATTAATAAATAGTAACTCATATTCATTACTCAAGTAACGCAAGTGCGTTTGTTCTGTGGTTCTGCTAAAGTGCTAACACAAGTTTAGTACTTCAAAATACTTACAGACAAAAGTTGTGTTGTAGTCAATCGTAACTTGCAAGTTGTAAGTATTTAGACGAATGTACGTAGCTACCTGTGTGGATTCAATTTTAATATTGTAATTGCAATTGAAAAAAAACATCAATCATTGAGTGATTTCGAACAGTAGGTATGTCTGCATTCGAGTACTACGCCAAGAACAGTATTACTGAGGACAGGGTGAACCGTAAACGTAAAAACAAGAAGAAATTAAAAAAAACTCCAGTTAAAATTACTAAAACTGAAAATAATGGTAATGAGAATCCAAAAAAACCTAGGAGCCATACATTGAATAATATTTACAACCTTAACTTAAAAGATTCTTTTAAAACTGGGCAAAAATTATTGGAATGGCTAATACATCCAATGAGCATTGATGATTTTATGAGGTAAGTGATGTATAAATAATATCATGTATACTGTATAGCATAGTTTTATTTCCATGTGTAATAATAATACTAAATCCTTTTTAACAGTGTTAATATTTTATGATACATAGGTAATGTAAAATTTATATTGGTAATAACTATTTTTTGGTTATTATTGACATTTAGATTTTTAGAAATCATATAGTTCGATCCAATGACTGAATTAAAATTTATTGTTTTTCAGGAATCATTGGGAAAAAGACATCCTGCATGTGCCAAGAAACGGTTCTAATTATTTTTCACAATTGTTCTCTCTTACTGAACTTGATAACATTCTTCGTGAAAACAACCTTCAATATGGGACAAATGTAGATATTACATCTTATACAGACAATGTACGTGAAACACATAATCCAGTAGGCCGAGCTCATCCTCACGTCGTTTGGGATTATTACAACAATGGATGTAGTGTCCGGTTACTGAACCCTCAGCTATTCGCTCCAGAAATTTATAAATTCATGGCTAATCTACAAGAATATTTTGGCTCATTAGTTGGTTGTAATGTTTACCTTACACCACCATTTTCTCAAGGTTTTGCTCCTCACTATGATGATATTGAAGCATTTGTTGTGCAAGTAGATGGTGAAAAACATTGGAGGGTATATAAACCAAGGTAAGTTTTTTTACACATGCATAGTTGATTATAATTTATTTCATACTAATATATTTTTAGAAGTGAGTTTGAAACCCTGCCAAGGACTTCAAGCCGAAATTTTCATCCAGATGAAATAGGTGAACCAATTCTTGATGTAATATTAAGACCTGGAGATTTTTTGTACATGCCTAGAGGATACATTCATCAAGCTGATACTTTATACACAGAAACACATTCTTTACATTTGACATTTTCATCATATCAACAAAATTCTATGTATGATTTTCTTCAAGTGGTAAGTAGTTTTAATTATTTTATAGATTCTACTTATCTACGATTTTTTAATAATATTTTTTCTTCTAATTTATAAATAATACATTTTTAGATACCTATTTAATCATTGGAGCTTATCTTTTGAAATTAACGTGGATTTGAGTTTTTGGTTTTCTATTTCAATTTTAAACTATCAGCTTATACACATTAAATCAAAGGAAATTATTTATTTTTATTTTGTTCATCTTACAAATTAAAATTAGTTAAAATTTTGGTATCTTTTTTTTTAAAGTCATTTATTAAAATCTGTTAAAATTAATAGCATTTGTTTTGTATCTTTTTTTCACATTTGCAATTTGTAATGAAATAAATATTGTTGAACTAACTTTTTAGAAAAATTAATAAACTTTTATTTTTAGGTGGTTAATAATTCTTTAAATAATGCTGCAAAGAATGATATATCCTATAGATCTGGTTTGCCTGTTGGATACCAAAATTTTGGAGGCTTATGTGAATCGGAAAAATCACTTCCCCGTACTGTTCAAAGGCAACAATTTGAAAATCAAATCAACCAACTTATAAGAAATTTAAAAAATCACATAGACCTTGATCATGCTATTGACATGTTTTCATTGAAAAATTATTACACAAATTCACTACCCCCATCAATATGTAATGGTAAGTTACTTATTATTAAAAATTGAGAAGGGCTTATTGATAACTTGTATTTCATTAACAAATATATCTCATCTCTAGTTAAATAAAATTAAAGTGTTATCAAATAAAAAATAATTGGTTTGTATGAAAGTATAAAATAAAATTATGTATATGTTTCATTAAAAAGCTAGTTAAATATTCAAACTTATTTTGTACACATACAAATAGGGACAATTATTATGACACAATAGATTATATATCTTTCAAAATATTCACCTACTATTTTGTACTATAATTCATGTTTAAATCAATTGAAATATAAAAACAAAATATATTTATAGTTGAACTGCTACGGACAGTTGCTAACGGTACAAAGATGTTACCTAATGGAAAAACCACTAGAGAAGAGGTAAACCTTGAAATAGCTGAAGTTAAGCTTATTCGTAGAAATTGCTTTAGGTAAGATACACACTATACAAATTTATTGGTTATATTAAGAATGGTTTTAATCTTTATAATATTGTATTAAATACTTAGTTTTTTTAAATTTTTTTTCTTAATAATTATCCAAAAACATGAATTTATTACATTTTATTAGTATTGATTGTAAGCATTTATATTGTATTGTGATAAAAATCATAATAATATTTGGACATTTTATTTTAAAAAGTATCTAATACCCTTATGACTTATTGTGTTGATATGTGATATTTATTGTAGTAAATATTAAAATAATAAAATTTTACCATTTTAGACTGGTCGAAGAAAGTATGTTGGACGAAGAAACTGATCAAATGACAACCGAGTTGAGATTATATTATAATCTTGATAATTCTAAACAATTGCACGGTAACGAGTGCCAATTTGTTGTTATACCGGATGAAATGGGATTATTTGTGAAGAAACTGTTTAATGTGTATCCATTATTTACCAAAGTATCTGACTTATGCAATGACAATGAACAGGTTAATATTAATTAAGTAACGAAAAAAGAATCATATACATGAGTGATAGTTATTTATTTGTTTTTTCATTATTAGTTAGGTTATATTATGATACTTTTACTTTTTTAATAAGCTTAACTATCAGTAAAAAAATTTATTCTAACATAATTTTTTTTTTTTTTTTGAATGATTTAATTTAATTTTAACAATATATTATTCAGGATTGAGTATGATAGTAAAAAAAAAGTATCTTAATATATTTAGAATTAAGAAGATATGAGATACTTCAAAACACTTTTAATGTTTAGTATAATATTATTATAGGGCTTAAATATATCATTAAATATGTTTAAAATACAATTTTAACTCATTATTAATCTAATAAAAAGTACAGTCTTATACAGTTTTTAACCTATATTTTATCAACTACAGATAGTAAAATATATTTGTTTATTAAGCTTGAACAATTGATAACGGATATTATACAGTAAAGTTCGACAAACTTCATATGAGTATTATAGTTTGGACTCTTACAATAAAAATGTATTTATATATGAAAGATTTTCCCATTAAATTCCATACAACATAGTTAAATGCACATTTCTATATTATATTAAAATTTAAAATATAATACAACATTTAATGTGTTTATGCACTATTTATTATATAATCAACAGTATTTATTCAAATAATAGTGTCTTAAATTAAAATTTGTAGAACAATGTACAAATTTGTTATAATTTAGACATTTTATTTTTTGACATATATTTATTATGTTTTAACTTTTATTGGTTCAATTAAAGTATAGACTAAACTGAATAGTAGAACTTAGATTTTTTTATATTTCACACTTACCATTACCATTTTATATATTTATTCTAAAGTTAAATATTTTTGTGTGTAGAATAAGACAATAACCCAACTATAATAATCATTTGGAGTTTGGCCAAATGATCTTGTATAAATGTATAATGTCCTAGAATTAACCAATATTAATCAGTGAAAGCCTATTATTTGAATATTTACTACCTGACTATTGCTAGTGAGTAAAGCTAAGGGTTTTAAGTTCTTCGTACTTTTACCATTACATATCATATAATATATAATACAAATACAAAATACAAACATAACAAATTGTGATTTATCAAAAACTAATTCTGAGTAATATAATAAATTAGTTAGTGTTTTACATTAAATTAAAATTGTAAACATTTTTTTAATGTAAATACATACATAACAAATTGTATTTAATAATTTTTCATTTTAAAGGTATATAACACTTATAAATATAAATATAAATACTAATACAAATATTTTTCAGGTTATGCAGCTTGTGAATGATTTATGGGAACGAGGATTGTTAATTACTTCAAAAGATATTACGACATTGTCTAATTAGTTTTTATAAAATTTATGTTAAAAATACTTTATTTACAATAAACAATGTATTTTTAGAAAGTAATATATTTTAACATTTTATACATTTTGTAAATGCTTGTTCTTGGCAATCACATATTCAGTGTAGCTGAGAAATCCATCATAGTTTGTATCATCATCATACAGTATTTGATCAACTAAATCTAAAAAAAGGTTTTAGTATGGTTTATTTGTAACTAAATAAATACTTGTCTTTACCTGTATAATTTTCTAAATTTGATATTTTTGTTTCCGTGTCTCCGTAGTTGTCCATGTTATGAGCAAACGCAGACATTAATTCCAATCCATCAAGCATTGTGTTTTTATCATAGTCATGAGCACTATAAAATTAGTAAATTGACTAATTAATTGTATACAAAATATTATTTATTATTTGTGTATGTTACCCACATGAAATATCTAAATTCTAATTCTTCATCTGTTAAATTACTGTCGTCTATGTCTGGAAGCCCAAGATCCTCTTCAATGTGCCTATTTCATTTTTAAAACATATATTTTTGTTACAAATAGAGGCATGATGTTAAAAGATAAAACGAGAAGAAATGCAAAAGGGTTGGCTAAGATTTTTTAACTTTTTAATTCGTATATTATTTTCATTAATGTATAAGGATACATGTTAATGAATATCCTCCATAAACAGAACATTGTACAATTACATGCACATAAATTAACATATTATGACATTAACAAAAACTCCAATAGTTTTAATGAAGTTTAATTCATAAAATCTTAGAATTCTTATTGATTTGTGTCTGTTAAAAAATGTAAAGACATTTGTTTTCTATAACCAAAGTACCTATCAGAAAAGCTGCTTTAATTTAACTTAGTATGCTTGGGCTGAAAATGTTAGAGATTAATATTAATCTTATAATCTACTATCATTAATAATTTGTAAAAGTGGCCCAAATAATAGATCTAATATTACATCTATTTTATACTTTAGTAAAACAATTTTTAAGGACTTATCTTTATAGTACCTATATCTTAATAACTGAGTAACTACCTATTCATCTGAATTTTTGAATTAGAAATTTATTACTATTAACATATTCAAAAAAAATGTCTAGGTACTAAATAATTTATAGTAAAAAGGGGAGCTCTCATTTAGTAGAATAAACAATATAAGTCTCAGTTAATTTAAAAATTCTATTCTTTAATTCATAAAACTATTTATGAAATTTAATTTAGTGATAGAACACAGAAAATGTTCTTACCTAAAAGTTTGATTAAAGGTCAGTTTGGGCTAATAGTCTAATATAAAAACTAACAGCATACTAGCTATTAAAACTGATGAACGAAAATTTGGTATACCATACGAATGAAAGGCGAATCCCTGAACAAAAGTCCGATGAAAAAAATCTGAGAATGAAAGTCCCAAGTTTAAAAATGGTTATCCTACGATATGTGGTAAACCGCAAAAATATGTGGCCTACTAAAATGGACGTGGTCTACCGTAATAATATTAAAAGTATAAAAAAAAATTTTAATTTACTTACGTTAGTAAAAAAAGTGATTTTACATGTGCATAAGTAATAGGTAGGTTTTCGGATTATCCACAAAGCATAATTTTATATCTAAGGAAAGCATAAAAAATATAACCCTAAACCAACTAGCCTAGAAGTAAGCATTTGGTATTGTGACGGAAATTTTAACCTCAGGACTGATTATTTTATGCATTTATATGTAATATGAGCCCCTAAAAATGATTTTTTTTATTACCGCTGCATATTGTTTATTAGAACGTAAGGAAACTTCAATTTAAGACTCTATGTTTAAGACCATTATCGAAAAATGTAACAACAAGATTTTACACCTCGATTTTGAAAAAGCAGTAATTACAGCGGCTATTATTATTTTTGGTGTAGAATTAGATATTAGAGTGTGCTTTTACCATCTTTGCCAGAGTAGCTACGTTTCGTAAAGTTCAGGAGTTAGGCCTTGAAAAGTTTTTAACTTAAGTTGGATACAATATTAGGACACGGCCAAGGTTATAGGCTAAAGATATATATTTTTTTATTTAATAGAGTGAAGTAATATTTGATGTGTAATATCATAATTCATGTAATTTCTTAAAATTGTTATTGTATTTTTACATGTCAATTTGGTGTGTTATATAAATACACATTTTTACCGGACTTTTATTCCATCAGACTTGTTTTTGTTGGACTTTTTAGTATACCTAACACCGTGGTTTCTATAAATCTATAGTAGGTACTAGGTATGGATATTATGTTAATGCATAAATAAATAAAAATTTGTTTGAAAATGTTAAAGTTGTTGAAGATTGTACAAATTTGTGAGGTATTTTTAATTATTGTTATTAATTTATTTTTAACAATCGAAACCAAATTATGCATACCTGCCTAGTAGTACTCGTGAATTATAAATGTAGGTAGTATTGATATTCAGATATAAATTTGTCCAGCCAATATAGTTGGAATAAAAACTTTGTGAATAATGTTCATCAAATATGAAGTTAACGTTAAATTTTAATGACAAGGGTCTTTATAGCGTACCTATTTAGATATATCATATGAAAATATTATGATTGTGAAAAATGGAAGGTGTGGCTGAGTGGATGGGTTGGAGGGGGGGGGAGTTACCCGTTTCAGCCAAACAAAGTTTGGAAACGGTTACATTTTTGAGTAATATTGAATATATGTTACGGTATGTATATAAAAGATAGTAATGTAGCATATTGTAGTTAATAGCAATGACATTTCAACATTTGTAATGTACACACCGATAATTTTCGATAATTGTTGATAGTCGTTGATAACGGAAGGAATCATACACTGTATCATAGTTTATTTATAATTTGCACACAATTATTATCTTACGAATGTTAAATTCTTATACCTCCATTACGGACTAAGATATCTTAGTCCATTCAGTATCCGTACTGTTTGTCACCAAACTAACAACAGTAACAACACTTAGAAATTAAATTTGTTGTAAGCAAAAGAGGTTAAACGATGTTGATTTTTGATGGTTTAAGGCAGTAGGCACACCCATCATTTTTTACATTTTTACAAATACTTAAAGATACGATACAGACGGATATTTATATCAAAATTAATAGTGCTCAAAATAATATAAAAAAAATTCCAAAAAACAAAAAAAAATAACTGTTTAAAAACTATAGAAGACGTAATCACAAAAAAATTAAAATGAAATTAGTAAGTACACATTTGTTAAAACTGTTAATTTTAATTATAAAATATTTTAAAACCTGACCTATACTTACGATTGTAATTTTTAAAACTTGACATATAGGTACTTGTATTATAGTTTTCATTTTTTGTGACATTTTTAAATATTTAAAAATATTTAAAAATGACGATATGTGTTTTTTCAAAATTCTATTGAGACTATATTTTAATATATTTTAATTTATTTTTGATTTTATAGTATTTTAAAAACTATAATAAAGTTGTGCCTATATTCAACTAATGCAATATTATTATGTACTTGTAATATGATAAGAAAATATATAATGATAAGAATATGCAACGATTGTATATGGCGCCCAAATAGTAATTAGCGGAAACGCCTTTTCACAAAAATAAATTTTGGCGGAAACGAGAATCGAACTTTTTTCGTTTTTGGTGGAAAAGGGCTATGTGTAAATCGTGGAACCGGATTTTTGACGGAAACGGGACATGCCCGGTTGAGGAGGACACGAGTGTGCCCGCACGAAAATCTCTTAGGTCTCGTGCGCTCTGCACAATCGTTACAAAACACGAATACTTGATTATTGTGTGGGCACCTACCTATGCATCATTGAATATTGCATCGTATATATTAAAAAAAAGTATGATATATTTTATACTCGTATCGTCACTGACCTCTTGTCGTGCAGTATCGGTTTGTCTTGAGTGAACTTCGTGTCGCCCATGGGCTTGGGGTGTTGGTGCTCGTGGTGGTGGTTCTCGATTCTCGGTTCGCCAGACACAGCGGCCCTCGGATGGTGCGGACCCCGTTGGAACCCGACGGCGATGCCCAGCAGCAACAGTTCGGCCAGCACCGTTCCTCTCATGTTATGTTTTAATGTGCAGCTCGAGTCTGTCCCTTCGCCCCCGATTCCCCGGCCTCTTGCACCTCCTCTTCCTGTGTGCATACGACGGGGCATTTTTTTTTTTTATTTCTATTTTATTTCATTTCATTATCCGCTTAACGGAATAATGTTTTCGCGCGCGACAGATGCGCTGCGCCTCGGTCCCGCCGACCGCGCCCCGCACGTACGCGAGCCAGCGATCTGCAAATTCGATTTACTCTGCTCGCGCACCACGGTTATTTCACGGCCGACGTGAACCCAGCGTGGTCCGATCACCACTCGTCTCCAGTGGCGTCGATGACGACAACGTTATAAATCCAATAATCGGCGGGGTCCTATGTCCTGCAGCCTGCACTTTGAGGAAAAAACCCTTTTACCCTGTCCACTCCCTCACTCTATCACTACGCTGTACGCATACCACTCTACTAGTATTTTGTTTACTACTCTTATAATATATATATAATGTATCACATAATATAATGCTGATCTGTATTCTTGTGTGGAGGATAATACGACGCATTGATGTTGCCCATAATATATAGATACCTATATAGGTATATAATATGATCTAGGTAATAGGTACAAGTGTACCAGAAAGGACCTGATATGTAAGTCTCGAGACAGTATATATTTATTATGTTTATGTTTTACCCACGTTTGTTTTAAAATAATCGATAGATACTTAATATTTTTTTTGTGTAATATGTAGGTGTTATTATTATGTTCAAGTATTTTAAAGAAAAAATTAAGTTTTTTTAGAAAAATTATTGATCAGAAAAAGAGTTATTTTAATAACTTACATATTATTAAGTGAATTTAATTTGCAAGTTAATTGTGCTACTGCTTCATCCAGTATAAAGGTTTATACATAGTCGTAATGTTTTTTTTCATTTCTAAGTATATACTTTATCGTATAACTAGAAAGTAAACCGTTACGGTTTACTTTCCAAACTTCGAAAAAAGCAAAAACTGTAGGTTAGGTATTAAAATAGATATATCTACTACCTACATATTATAATATATATTATACCACTTTATTATTGAGACATGTACATCCCTGCACACCAGTTGATTTGTCTTTTATGCGATAGTCAACACTCGTTTAGTACTGTAGACTGCATGCAGATTATAATAATAATAAATAATAATATATTGATTTACAACGGGTTTGAAAATTTGATATTTTATCGAATTGATAAGCTTCTGAATTTTCCATTTGAGAATCTATTATTATATGATATACATTATTTTTCAAAACTTTATATTTCTATACTTATATATTATCATCTGAATTTGTACGTATAGTATAAAGCAATAAAGCACTGAATGTTGACGTGATGATCTTATTTATATGTATATTTAAGTACCTATAATATATTATGTCACCGATCATGTGTAATCAAATACCTGTACGATTTCGTGAGTGATCCGCATTAAAGACCATAAGTGAGATTATAATCATAATACCATAGTATCCATGTATATTTTATTATCCACATAATAAATAGGGTTGAACTGTTGGCAATATGTTTCACGAGGACCATCGGTCGCAGGGTAGGTAGGCACCTACACAAAAGGGTTGTTGAACAATAGTCGGTTTCGAATGTACACGCCATGGCACACATACTATTGTAATAGCACGACAGGTTTTAAAATCATTTATTATTATACATACAGCTGACAGATTTTAGTCATGATGACGTGCTGCGCTATAAAACGTTTTCATTTGAAATCAATGGAAATGCTTGCATGCACGACGTACGTCGTTGCAACTAGAAAACTATTTATTGTCTTCATTAATCCATGGACACTGTCACTGTAGCTCCTAGTACATAGCCATTGAACGAAGTCTGCAAGCTTATTAACACTAGAGAAATACTCAAATGAAAAAGGAAACCAAACCATTAGATGTTTCGGTGATTGATTGATTTTATACATTTCCGGTTGATATCTATCAATATTTAATTATATTTATAATACACACATAAGAGGTGCCTATACCTACTATTTGAACTATTCAATTAGATATTATATTAGTAAATTAATATAAATGTATTGGTATCAGTGTATTATATTTTCATCTTATAATTATTACATCTATTTAAAATATTTATTGTCACTAACACAATATATGTATGTACCTAGTAAGTATAGATTTACATTGTTATCAACGTAAAATGCAATTAAATGAAAGCTGTATACAGTGTTTACTAGTGTGTTCTTTCATAACCTACTTGTGTATAAATATTGTACGAAACCGAAATTGCATATAATAGAATTAGGAACCTATATCAATACTATATAGCAATATATAGGTACAGACTACAGAGTGTCTCATGTTGTCCTCACATAAGTATTGTAGTTTTATACACCTACTCACTATAGATATTGCCTAAATAAAAATATAAAACTGTCATATAAAAAATTCAAATTACTATTCATTTCTATAATAAACCCGAAACTACCGTCCTACATAACGAACATTATTATAATATTTGTGATTTGTGGTCATCTACAGCAATAATAAATTATCCAAAATCATATAAACTAGAAAAAAAAGAGGGTAAGTTGATGTCTCTCTGCTGTACAGTAGGTTACAAGTGGGTCGCTGTAATGGATGGTGTTAAATTTGAATTCAATGATGTAAAATCATTGTATACGAAAAACGATTCTGTGCGAAGACAGTCAGTCAGCCGATAATATTACTTAATAATTAAGTATATTTGATGATGTTATAGTGGTTAAAGTAATTTATTTTACTATTAAGCATATTATAGTACTACAGTATGTTAAATTCATTTTTGCCAAAAAAATTTAATTTGAAAAGTCATTGTATGTATAAAATATAATATCTACCATAAAATTTTAAATTACCCACGAGGTCACGAATAATATTTTTAAATTTTAAATTACAACAAAACACCTTAAATCAATACTCTTGGTTATTTAATATGTAATTTCGTCCACATTTGATCATAAAACTATAAAAAAAACTGTCCTTATATATTTTTTATATATTTTTTGGTTACAGAATAACTTACTTACGAGGAACCTTGTTATACATTAGTTAAAAAAAAAAATAGTTTAACATTTTATGGTATATACTATATAGAAAATGCGGATATAAACATTTAGTTGAAAATTTCATGTTTCAACCGTTTTTTTTTTAGATTTACATCATAAACCAAAATCGATTTTGTCTAAAATCGGGTTTCCGTAAAAATTTCAGTTTTTCCTTAATTTTATGTTTGTTTTTCCTGCCGCTTTCGAAAACTATTGGGAATATTTTATTTTTGACCTACCGATGTACCATTTATATTCAATTTCCTACCAGAATATATGCTGTCGAAGAAAATTTAAGCACTTAACCGCCCAAAAGGTGACGACAAACACACTCATAAAAAAAAAAAAAAATAGAAATAAAAACACACACTATTGAAAAATCAATACATTCATAGCTCCGCTCAGAATCTGAAATACTGACAGAGACAAACATACGGTTAGACACCCTGTAAAGGTACACACCCTAAAAAAACAGGACCTAACAGGCAGAATGACGGGGATGATATGGCTGTAGATAAAAAAATATGCATTATATACCTACGTGCAGGCTACTCTTATTCGCGGCGTAATCTCTTATTATAAGGTATTACTTAAAAACATTAATTAAAAGTAATATATTGTAACTTATTATGAATATTTCGTACGTACCTATAATTTGCAGTAGAAATCTGTGAAAATTCGAGTTCTGTGATTATAGTACTATCTATACGCAATATGTGATAACGTTCGGTGGGTATATCAGCAAAACAATCCATTCGAGTGGTCCTTGTGGTAGGTACTTATTATACGGACATCAAGTTGTGCCGGATCAATAGAATGCGTCCGCCGAAATAAAGGGTGGTTTCGCGTGGTATACGCGTGTGCATTAAATTCCGACAGATAGCGGTAGGGTAAAGGATTTTGTACTTCCCGGAACGCTTCCGTTGACTGGAAAATATTCCAAGTTGGAAACTTCATGGGATATCTATGCGTCCTACTAACTTTGAGCGCTTAATGGGTCACTTTTCAGAATTTTGTAATAGATAGAGAAGAAAACAACATTCAACCCGACATGTTTGATCCTCGAGGACTTTTAACTGATTGTTGGGCTGTTTGGAGTGAAAGTATTTTTTTTATCAAATAAAAAAAAATCAGAGACATACCAACTATTATTGGCTTTAGTGATAATTATAATTGGCGGGGCGCCAACATGGGGCATTCCAATATGACATTTGATAGATCTACCTAATTATTTATATAGGGTGGCTATGATTTTGCATTTTTGCATACAGTTAAACCTTTACCAAAACCGGCCGCAATGCTCACGAATATCTCATGTAATTTGGCAATACGTAAATACATGCATGCCCATACTTCTTCGTGTCCAAATTTTTACAAACCTATCAGATAGGTAACAAAAATTTTTTTAATAGCAAATAATTTATGGTTCTTTTATCTCCTTTATATTTTCAATGTTATAGGTAATATTTCCATATTAAAACACAATTAATAGATACAGTTAAAAATAAATAAATAAACAATTTGGTACCCAACTATGAAAAATTATCAAAAAATAATTAATATAAACAACGAAATTAGAAATTAGAAACACACTTTCAGCGTTTTGGGTACACACTACTACACTAGTTACTTAGTCTATTGTTATAATTTGGCATTTATATTTTAATGACAATATAATTTTAGAAGCTTTTATTATTGATACAACTTTCACTTATAATAATATATTATAATTTAATAGGTAGGTATTAAAAATACTGTCTATATATATCAACACACGTATAGTACTAAAATAGTATTTAGGGAGGTACTATTTCCACTGATAGAAGTTAAAATCTGATTTAATGATAAATTGTAACGTTTATAAGTTATAAATTATAACTAAGGAATTTTACATTCAATCATTTTTAAATTTAATTAAGAATATACTATACTCACTAAAAACTGCCTTCAGGCATTGTCTATCTTGTACGACAGTTTCTTGTCAATGGTTCAATTCAATTTTGACATTTCCCCTCCTCTATTCCTTTATTTAGTCGATCTATAGAATTTTTTTTAAAGTAACGCGTATTGCGTATACCCAATATATATATATATATATATATCTTATAGTGCTACCTCTTACTATTGCATTCATCAATTTCCTTTTTAGTTTCTGTTTCTTTCAAATCCTTTTGCAATACAATCCCATGTACGTCTCTATAATAATATGTCTACAGTCATTCAATACGTTTCAACTGTTACTATCTATTTTTTTCTATTTTATTTACAATAAATTGAAGACGATCCTATAACCTTTTTTTCCTGTCTATTCAATCTTAGTTACATTTTATATTTATTCTTTTTTTCCATAAAATACACTGTATAAAATGTTTTTTATTATCTACCCACGCCTCAAATACAATACAAATACACACAATGGGTTATATATTATACATATTATTATATAGTATTAATCTAATAAAATATTAATTATTATAATATATATATAGTATACGTTCCTGCAGTATTAGGCTATAACATTTCATAATTTTATTGTTCTTATATTTTTTTTTATCTATCGAACTGTGTACAATTTTAATAATAATCTGGTTATTACGCACAATACCTGTTTCTCTACTCTTGCAGTAAAGTAAGTAAACCTCGTTTTAAACATCAACCGAATAATATCATTATTAATTAATATTATAATCTAAACATGAGCAACCATATTATCTTAAGTTAAAAATAGTTAAAAGTTGGTATTATGTGGTTATAGATAAATTTCTAAAATTCAAACACATTATAATTGTCTTTCGATGAAAAACATTATTTTTAATTGACAAGATTAAGTTATGATTAATAGTTTTGATTTTCCGTCGATAAAAAAAGCGTTAAAAATATTAACTTTTTTAGAAGAATATTTAAATGTAATGGAGTGTAGTATTAACAACTTTTTTTATGCGTGTTTAAAAATCATTGCATATTATTGCATATCATTTGGTTACAAATTCAACATTTTAATGCCGATTTCCAGACTATGGTTAATGTATGAGATAGAGTGAAAAGGGACTTCTCTAAGCTGTCAAATTTCCTATTTCCCTTGTGTTCTATTTTCTCGGTACCCTTAGGGGTAGTACCTAGCTGTATTCTTTCCAGATCGAAAAAAACTTTTGAACACATTTGGTTCGCCTGTCATATAACTTCTCCATTTAAAATTAAATGAAAACGAGATCTGGTTTATGTATTTATAGGCGAATACATTTACTTTATTTCCTTTGTTAGATACCTAACTACTCTACTTTTATTTTTATTTTCTCACTGTAAAATTCTTTTACAGTTCTTCATTGGATACTAATTTTCGTTTTTATTGTTGAATAGTTAGGTATACGTAATACCTACTTTACGAGTACATACATCTTTAATGAATAGACCTTTGCATATCATGCATAGTATAGTAATATACAATTTCGCAACATTATAAGGCATTCCATTGACATTTATGTTTCTATTTGATTTATAAAATGTAATGTTTAACATAAAAAGTATGTAGGCTATAACTATAGGTATGGGAGTTTGTAATTTGCACAACTGCAGGAAGTGGAAAATAAGTAATTTAGTAATTACCACTTTGTATGCCGTGTTTATTCATTTCAATTCACAAATTTTCTTATGGAAAATCATTTATTTTAGAAAAAGATAAAAATTCTGTAGAAGTCGAATATTTTCAGTGACACCATTTTGTTAATTTATGCCAGGTGTATTCAAATAGATACACGCATAAAAACGCACTCAGAAAGTTTCTTTTCCCAAGTAAAATATGTTAGACTAACATAAAAAAAATGTCCAAGTTAGAATAGTCAGTTTTGTCATTTTTAGCCAAAGTGTTAAATTAGTAATTTACACCAAAATAAGTAGATATTTATGCATTTGATTATTTGACATTCGTTATGTTGACTATTTTACTGACAATTATTATTTATAATACTTATTAGGTACTACGATTTTATTCGTAGCACAAAAATACATACTGTAATGTATAGTCTAATAATTTTTCTACTTAATTTATTAATAAAAACCAAGCTAAAGTAGTTTTATTAGGATTATATCAGGATAAGATCTTTACCAAAATCTAAATTGTATAAAAATAATTTAAAGTTATTAAGTATTTTAAAATTGTATTTTTCCTAAAATAATATTGTATATGTCTGCTTAATATTATTGTTGTGAGGTAATGGAACCTAGCTTTTAAGTCGATGTACTATAAATACAGGTGTAGGTAAGTATAATATACCGCTCTAAATATTCGGAATATTCTTTGTTCTTTTGAATAGCAAGCTTTATTTTTATCACCAGATATAGTTAGATAATTTTTTGCTAAGTAATTTTGATCTATTGACTATAGGTTTAAATCTAAAATTGACCGAGTTACAGGCTAACAGATTTTTTAAAATTAAAAATAATTAGATTTTTTTCAAAAACATAGTACACTGTATTGAGAGCATTTTTTTCACGCATTTAAATTTTCTATTATGAAATAATATGTAAATTAATTTGTAACTTATAAATTTATAATTTTTATTAAAGCAAATTTGTTTATTTGATAAAATATTCAATATTTCCCTAATTCTTTTGTTATTTGTCTGCAGGCTACGGAAATTATTTTTTAAATCTCAAAAACTTACTGGTGGATCTTCACTAACAAATGTTTTTAAATGAACCACCTATTGAGAAATGACGTAAGTCACAAAATATCACAAATTGAGGTATTGAGTGGAATGTGTTATCAAATGATGGACGGATCATGTGTGAACATTTGCAAAAAAAAATATTTAATTTTACCACTGTAAATAATCAGTGTGAAAGATAAATAACCATGTATTACTATAGTAGCGTAAAAACAGTTTTTTCTTATTTCTCAGAATTATCTTTTGTGGACTTACGTCGTTTCTCAAATAGGTGGTTTAAATGTCCCTATTAAAAAATCTAGTGGTGTCAAATCAGGTGATTGTGGAGGACTATTCCACTCGACCTTGAGTTCCCACCCATCGATTTCTTAATATTTTGTTTAATTGTTGTTTAATAATTAACTATGGAGTTATGTGCTGGTGCTCTGTCCTGTTGATGTTTTAATAAACAAATAAAGGAACTTCTTCTTCATTGGTAATGAAATTAATAAATCTGAATATTATCGCCCGTGATAACAACATCATACAAATATGGACTTATTAAATTATTTGCTATTAATCGGCTCATAATGTTTGATAATTATTTGCTTCAAATGTCCAACGTGGATACTGGATTTCCATTCTACCAATAACGGTTATTTTTTAGGTACAAGTCATATTTAAAAAATACAAGTTACATTCTTATAGGGCTGATCTACTACAATATTTAAGTAATTTATAATTTATTTATGTCGAACGTAAATTAACAATTATTGCTTGAATAATAACATAAATTAATAACTATTCTATTATTTTTAAACTATAGGTACATTTTGTAGATTGAAAAATCAATGTATTCAAATAATGGTATTTTAATCTTTAAATAAACAAAATCACCATTATTCGTCAAATAGAATTCAGTAATCAGCTCAAACAACTGAACCTATGTTTTTGAAAAAAATATTTTTTTAAATTTCAAAAATCTGTTATAATGTGACTCAGTCGATTTTAGGTTTAGTACCAGGGTCTCAATGGATCAAAATGACTAAAAATGATATTATCTACCCATATCCGGTGACAAAATTAAGGGTTGTTATTAAAAAAACTTTAGTTGTATTGTGCATGTTTGAACTAAAGGAGATA